GGGACATTTCCAAATACTAGGACTTTGTTTTTTGCTCATGTATTTTCTGCATTCTAAAATCCTTTTATTAATGCAGTGCAACCCTGCTATTTAGCTTTATTAAATAACAATGTTTTGCTATTAGAAGTCTTGGTGTGTATGGCTGTATATCCACTTTTATTTGCCTATGTGTATAAAGGAACCAACAAAACAATCATTGTTTCATTTCCACACTAATGTGGCTTTTTAAGAATCATTGAATTACTGTTTAGTGAATTTGGGTAAAACATTTGCGTGCAGGGAAAATTAGAGCATGCAAAACATTAGAGCACTCTCCTAACAGTTTTATCTGAATTTTAATGTAAAACAGAAAACTATGGCTACAACATGGATTGTGCTCTTTATATTTATTTACTTAGCTTCAAAAGAAAGTCTAATCCGGGCTTTTTTTTTTTTTTTTTTTGGTACCAGGGATTGAACTCAGGACCCTGTGCTTTCGAGGTAGGTAGGTAGGTGAGGTGACACTAAGCTAAATCCCCAGCCCTTTTTCTCTATACAGGTCAAGTTTAATGAGCCACTAACCATCCCTGGGACTAATCAATATCAGAGGATAGTACAGGGAACTCAGATTCCTTTGGGTTCCTCTCTCAAGGTCTTGGGATAAGCAGTCCTCTTGGGGGCCTCTTGGGAAGTTTATCTCTTGCCTTGAGCACTGGATAGTATTTATCTTGCCATGATTCCCTTCCAGCTCTTAGAGTCAGAGGCTAAGGAGAAGAAAGTGAGTGGAAATGGTTCCAGTGAGGGTCAGCCCTGGGCAGCCACAGTGTTGACTGTGCCGTTTGATTTTGGGAGGAGCCTGTCCTCCAACTTGAAGTATTTCTCAGGATTCAAAGCTGTTCCTGAACCTAGAGTCCTAGAGAGACCGGGTAACATTCTGGGCACTGAAGCGGGGACAGAAAGGAAGCACTATGCGCTTATACTATGGTGTCATTCATCACAGGAGACTTCCTTTTGTCTCCTATTTTCTCTGGGAAGAAAGGTTGGCAAAATATAAAGTCTCTCTCCTTCAAAAGGGAAAGTAGAATGATGGGTGGAGGCCTGAGGAGGAAGGGAGACAGAGAGATGAATTCACCTTTGTTTGGGGAAATCTTTAGTTCTGTAACAGCAACAAACAGCAATTGTGGCGAGTGGCCTCAGCCTTTCTGAAGGAAATCCAGGCCACACTGAAATCTGGGGAATTTGAAATGGTATTGTTTGTAGTGGGTTGCAGATTTCCACTGGCCATTTCTTTAAAGCCAAAAAGTTATAATTAAAATATAAATGGATCCAATTATTTCTGCCTTCTGTCTGAAAGGATGTAGCTGGTAATGAGAATCACATGTCTGAACTGCAGCTCCTTCTATTTCCAAGCAAGTTGTCCCATGAGAGAAATTCCTTCTTTTCAGCAAAGCTCAGAAAACCACATTTCCCCCCCCCTCCTTGGCTACTGTGGTTTTGGACTGGTTTTTACAAGTCCCAGCTATGGAGTTTGTAAATGTCATGGTAAATGTTCTCACTTCTTTCCCATTCTTTTCTTTATTCATGACTGGGTGATAAGGCCTATCTTTTTTATTTCAAAGAGTCAGAGATAAGAAAAGTAGAAGTACTCAGTCTTATCCAGGTAAAATATACTTTCAAGATAGGAATGACAGGCATGTAGCTGGATCATTATCACTTGGAATCTTCTTAGGCTGTGGGAGAGAGGTGAAAACATGACTAGGTGAATCGGAGAAGCAAGGAGGTAAAGAGGTAGCTTTGGGAGGCCAGTCTTGGGGAGTGTGTTATTTACTTTTCTCTCATTGCTGAGGCAAAATACCCAACACCCAAAGTTAGAGGGGAAGGGGTTTATCTGGCTTACAGTTCATAGAGGTTTCAGTCCATAATTGGCTGGCTCCAAGGGAGGGAAGGCAAACAGGCATCGCAGGAGAGAAACAACATGGCGCCCACAAGGTAGCAAAGGCAACAAGAGAACCTTCCCAGAATCTTCCTGCCAGTTATCTTAGACTACTTAGGGTGGGTAGCACTCACACCCTTAATCCCAGTGCCTTTGGGCCTAGCCCCTCCATGATTCAATCCCAAATTCTAAATTCACCCTCTGGAAAAGCATGAGACTTGGTGGGGGGACAACTAAACACAAGCCATAACAAGGAGGATTTTGACCATTGTGTGGGTGAGGCTGGGATAACATGGTGGTCATCAGTGTGTCCTGAAAATGACAGAGCTTGAACTAGGGTAGAATGCCTTGGTTTCCTAGAGGAGTGAATGAATTATATACTAGTGTTGTTTTTATGATCATTACTGAACACTCACAGATCTCTCCAATCACAACAGGACAGTCCATCCTCCTCCTCCTTCCACCTGCATAACCAACCCCCAGGGCCCAGACAAGATACAGAGTCACATACAAGCCTTTGTGGAGTCATAAGTTTTTTGTAAGGTTCTTAGTAATTTCAATATATTTGGTGAGAAACATAAAAATCTTTTCCTATTTTTAAATTGAGATGTTTGACTACTCACTATTGAATTGCAAGAGTTCTTTATATATTCTAGTTACAATCCCTCTTCAGATGTAAATTTGCAAATATTTCCTCATAGTCTGTGGTTTGCCTCCATTTTCTTAATGGTATCTTTGGAAGAGCAAAAGTTTTACATTTTTGTGAAGTCTAATTTATGGTATTATACTATGCTTTTCATATCATTACTAAGAATATTATAACCAATCAAAAATCACAAAGATTTCTTACAGTGTTTTCTGCTAGTTTTATAATTTTTTACTTACTACTTTTAAGCCCATGATTCACTTTGGGTTAATTTTTGTATATGTTGTGAAGTAAGGGCCTAAGTTGTTTTCTACATATGGACATCCAATTGTCTCAGCAACACTTGTTGAAGGCCAATCTTTTCCAACTGAACTATGTTAGTATCTTTGTTGAAGATCAAATGACCATAAATACAAAGGTTTATTTCTGAACTCTCAGTTGAACATGTCTATCTATACGCATGAACTGTATGTCCTATTGACCTATATCTCTATCTTTATGTTTATATCAAATTGTCTTGATTACTGTTGTTTTGTGATGTTTTGAGATCAGGTAGTATGAATCCTCTCAATTTGTTCATTAAAAAAATTTAGCTATTCTAGGTCCTTAACTTTTTATATACATTTAAGTTTGGTTTGACAATTTCTGTAAGAAATGCTACTGGGATTTTGACAGAGATTCTGGAATCTGTAGAACAATTTGGAAAGAACTGCTTTTTTTTTGAGACAGGGTCTCACTTTGCAGTTTAGGCTGGCGCTGAACTCATTTTGTAGCTCAAGCTGGGCTCGAACTCACAGCAATCCTCCTGCCTCTGCCTCCCAAGTGCTGGGATTACAGATGTGAGTCACCACACCCAGCTCTCTGAACTGCATTTTTTTTTTTGTTACCTTGTGTTTGTGAGGCAGGCGGCAGAACGACTGAGCTAAATCCCCGGCCCTGAACTGCACTTTTAAAATAGTGTTCCTTTCAAACCATGAAGATAGAATATGTCTCCATTTATTTAAATCTTTAAATTCTCTTGTAATGTTTCATACTTTTTAGTGTATAAGTCTTGGGCTTCCTATTTTATTTTTTGAATGCTATTATAAAAAGGATTTTATTAGTTTATGTTTTAGACTGCTCATTGTGAGCATATAGAAAAAATTTATATTTTGTATATTGGTCTTTTATTCTGAGACATGGTCAAATTTTCTGCCAATACACATACACACACACACACACACACACACACACACACAATTTTTCTACATACTGGATCATGCTGTCTGTGAATAGAAGCTGTATTTTCCTTTCCAATCTGTACACAATATACTTGATTGCTAGGGATTTAGCTCAGTGGTTCTGGTGCCTGCCTCACAAAAGCAAGGTTTGGAGTTCAATCCCCCAAAAACCAAAAAACACAATATACTTGATTGATTGAAAACAAGAGAACAGGCTGGGGATTTAGCTCAGTGGTTCCGCCGCCTCCCTCGCAAGCATAAGGTCCCAAGTTCAATCCCCAGTACCAAAAAAAAAAAAAAAAAAAAAAAGAAAACAAGAGAACATATATCTTTTGAATTTCAACCTATTTGTGCCTTTGAATATGAAATGTTTATCTTATAGTCAACATATAATTGCATTTACTTTCTTATCCAGTCTCACAGTTTCTGACTTTTGACTGGAGTATTTATTCCATTTACATTTAATGTAACTATTAGTATGGTTGAATTTATGGACATTGTTTTGTTCTGTGTGTTGTAAATGCTTCATGTTTTGTTGTTGTTGTTATTCCTCTGCTCCCCATTTACTCCTTCTTTGTGTTAAACAAATAATTTTGTATTGTATTTTAATTCCTCAGTTAATTTTTGTTTTGTTTTTTTGGTACCGGGGATCGAACTTGGGACCTTGCGCTTGCAAGGCAGGCACAGGAACCACTGAGCTAAATCCTCAGCCCTCCTTGGTTAATTTTTAAATGATAATGTTTAATTATTATCTCAGACATGTGCTTAAGAATCACACCACACACCTTAAAATATCACAGTGTAGCCTGGCGTGGTGGTGCATGCCTGTAATCTCAGCACCTGGGAGGCTGAAGCAAGAGAGTTGCCACGAGTTCAAGACCAGCCTGGACTACATAGTGAGTTCAAGGCCAGTCTGAATTACACAGTGAGACTCTTTATCTCAAAAAGACCAAAAAAAGAAAAAAGAATAACAATGTATTTCAAAACTAATTCAATCTGGTAAAATATAATAACTTTGCTCTAATAACACTCAATTTTCTTCCTACCCTGCCCTCATTTTTGTGCTATTAATGTCATAAATTACTATATCCATATATGTTATAAATTCCAAAATATAGCTGCTTTATATAATCTTATGCCATTTACATAAATAATAGAAGGAAATGTATATCATTAAGTATTTTATAGTAACCCATATATTTACAATTTCCAGTATGGAATATTGTTTTTGACAATTATGTCCTGTTTTTTAACTGTTTTGAAAGGAAAAAGATTTGTTGACCTCTTTACTCTTTCATAATTGGGAGACTTACTTGCATATATTTCCAAAGAAAAAGATTTATTCTTTTTTTTTGTCATCAAAAAAAAGGGTATTTTGAATTATCACATAACTGTATGTAGTATGTAGACTGGAACTTGCTACACTTTCTTTTTCTCTATGAAACATCACAAGCAGCATAGTACATGTCATTGCTACTCTACATCCCATAAACCTTAGAGAGATGAATTTTGGGAAACTCCCAGACAATTTCAGTCAAACATCATCTGGAAAGCTATAGGTATAGGATGGTGATGGCATTATAGGAAAGCTCAAACTTGCTTCAAAATCTGGGCTACTGAAGTCTTACAATTAAATTCACATTTTCTTAACTCACAAAGAAATTATATACATCTAAGAAAGTTATCTCTACATGAATCCCCAACCCAGTCAGTAATTTTTAGTCTTAACAGAAAACTTTGTATTAGGTGGTTGTTTTATTTCCTATTCTTAAAATTTTAAGCCCATTCTAATGCTTCAAAACTGAGAATAGTGACTGTATATGTTCACACTTTAATAGAAAATTTACTTGAATTTTTAAACTAGAAATAGTGTTATGTAGCTTTGCTTTAAAAAAACAAACTGCATGACTGTATGGATAAGTGATGGTTTTCTAACAACTACATTTAACATAAAGATTCCAGTGCTTTAAGATCAAAACTAACAGATTTGATTTGTTAAGAAATGAGCTATTTTAGGTCATTAAAGTATATTTCACAGCTGCTATGATGTGTTTGGCACTGATTCCAAACATATCCAGCAATTCACTAGCTTTTCCACTCCGAGGTACTTCTGCGACTGCCAACTAATGAACAAGGATGTCAGGCTCCCTGGAGACAGCTGCACACACAGCTTCTCCAATGCCACCTTCTCTGTAGTGATCTTCCATGGTGATGATCCGGCCACCTGTGGCTCTTGCACTGGAAATGATGGTGGCAGCATCCAGAGGTTTAATAGTAAATGGGTCAATGACACAAATAGAAATACCTTGTTGAGAAAGATCATCAGCAGCTGCTAAGGCCTCATGTAGAGTAACTCCAGCTCCAATAACTGTGATCTTGTCATTGACACTGGAGCGAACTATTTTGGCCTGTCCAATCTCAAAATTTTCTTGTGGGGTATAAATAACTGCAGTTTCTGGCCAGCTGGTATGAATGAAGCACATTCCCTTGGTATTGGCAGCCAGATAAACAGCATGCTCTGTTGAGACTGCATCACTTGGATAGAAAATAGTGCAATTGGGAATGCTTCGGAACATGGCTAGATCCTCCAGGGCCATCTGAGAGGGTCCATCTTCACCAATAGATACCCCACAGTGAGAACCAACAAGGTTGATGCTGGTTTGAGAGATGGCTCCCATTCGGATCTGATCAAATGCTCGGGACAAAAAGGCAGCAAATGTACTAACAAAAGCAATGGTTCTATTGTGTGTGGCACAGCCCAATGCCACACTTACCATGTTTTGCTCAGCAATAAAACACTCTATGAAACGCTCAGGGTGATCTTTCTGAAATATGTCAGAAAAAGGTAGAGTTCTTCGTGTCACCGTCCAGAGCAATAACCCTTTCCCACGCATGGCCCAATTTAGCCAGAGCCATGCCATATGCTTTCCTGGTAGCTATCTTCTCACCTGCTTTGTAAGCAGTCAGAGAGGTCATTTTTATGTTACAGATGCTGAGCTGAGGTGAGTCTTCAATAGGAGGTTTCGGTGTGAGCTTTCTGTTGGTCTGTATCTGACTCTCAATTAGTTTGATAATTGCATCTGCTCTCTCTTTTGGTATTGGCTTTCCATGCCAATTTTCTGCATCCTCAATGTTTGGAATGCCCCGACCCTTGAAAGTCTTGACAATTACAGCAGTAGGTTTGTTCTTCACTTGAGCTGCTTGCCAAAATGCTTGGCATAATGCCTCCACATCATGACCATCCACTATGTAAGTATTCCACCCGAAGGCTTCACAGCGATTCTGACACACTTCTGTGCGGTGCTCCAGGGGGGCGGGGGCACTCTGTCCCAAGCGGTTCACATCGAAGACTGCCACGAGATTGTCCAAACTGTAGTGGGAGGCGAAGGCCAAAGCCTCCCAGACAGAGCCTTCTGCGGATTCACCATCTCCCATGAGGCAGAACACTCGGTAACTGGCCTTGTCGAAGTACTTGCCTGTATAAGCCATTCCACACGCAGCACCTAATCCTTGCCCAAGGGACCCTGTTGCCACATCCACAAACGACAGTCGAGGGGTGGGATGTCCTTCCAAGTCGCAGTGAGGCTTCCTCAGGCTCAGCAAGTCAGATTCGCAGATATCGCCCACCTCGGCCCAAGTGGCATAGAGGACGGGTGCTGCGTGGCCCTTGGAGAGGACGAATCTGTCGTTGTCGGGGTGCTCTGGGTCGGTCGGTTTATACCTCATCGTGTGGAAGAAGAGCACCGAAATGATCTCGGCCACACTACAGCAAGACGTAGGATGGCTGGAGCTGCAGGTACTTGTAGCCTTAATGGAATGGATTCGCAGGCGATTGGCCGTGTCTGGCAACACCTGCAAGGCCTCCGCATCAGGTTGAGCATCGTTGGCCTCGGCCAGGGCGGTTGGCTGGTCGGTTTCGGCCCAGCAAAGAAGCCCGAGCGGTCTTGTCACGTGACCACTATGCGCGCTGTGCCTCAACATTTATTCTTTTACAGCAAGACATTTTATCAATTTAGATATAAATAAGCAAAGCTAAATTTAGAAAAACTGCAGTTTACAATAGTGTAACTTTGACCTTTTATGATCAGAAACAAAACTTTTTCAAAAGTCATTATAAAATAATTCTCAAAATTGTAAGTCTTTTATCTGAAAAAAATCTGTTTATCTGAAGAACAATAGCCATATATTTTCACTGTAGGAAATTATTTCAAGTGTTTAATGTAGCAATAAGCATATGAATGAACTGGAGACTAGACTAAAGAATTCCAAATTTATTTCTGACCTTAGTTGTTATTGATATATGACATAAATATTTGCCTGATATCCTGTGAGAAAGACTTTGGAGATATATAATCTATATATTTATATATCTATATATCTCTATATATCTCTATATATTTATATATCTATATATCTCTCTCTCTATAGATATAGATATATTTAATTTAAACGGGTTCCTCTGTAACTCTGTAATATCCAGGGCACCAGGAGAAGGCAGAATTCTTCCTGAGGCCAGGATTGTGCCTGTTTCAATCTCCTGGCCAGATTACTTCCTATAGGTCCTTTCCAGGCGACTCCTCCTTTTGCTTCTGATCCAGTGAAGGGCTGTGGGAGTAGGAGGATTCAGCTCTAGGGAGACTGAGATATCCCAGAACCCTAGAAGCAAGGCAAAGAACTATCTCAGAAGAGGATGAAGAAGATATCTAGAGAGGAAGGCCTTTCTATGAGAACCACCACACAAGTGTGAGGCCATTTAGCTTCCCTTCTATTGAAGTTTTCTTTTTCTTTTTTTTTTTTTTTTTGAAGTTTTCTTTTCTTGTTTGCTCTGCATTCTCCAATTTTCATCACAGACCAACCCATCTCTCCTAGGTCTCACTATCTCCGTAGGAGAGCTCCACTGCTCATCTTTATCTCCCCCCAAATAAGAGCAGCAAATAATCTGTTTGCTCCCTCATCTTGATGATTCCCAACTGCTGGACCTTTTATTCTGCTTCACTTTTAGATGCCTCTCACTTTGTTGCCTTCATCCTACCCGGCCTACCTGTGGGAGACCCTGTGTTTCCCACACCATTCTCCTGCTTGGGCCATGAATAGTTCCCTACTACCTAACCTGGTGAGTGCAGCTCCTGCTGGCTCCTTGAGTCTTCTATGATCTGGTCTAGCCTCACCTACCTTACTTTTCCACTGGAAGGCATGGTGGCCATGGAGGGAGGGAAGGGTGAAGACTAGTCATTCAGGCCTGCACAAGGGATTATACCACTACCAAAAAATACCCTTAGGTTCATAAAAATAATTTTTATTTGAAATCAGTAACAGAAGCTCACAGAGAAAAGCATGTTTTCAAAGGTATTAGTGGGAGTGATTCAGAGTCAGCAGACCCAGGGTGTGGACATGAGCTCAGAATGGCCTCTCTGTGCAATATTTGCCACTTGATCCCACAAACTGAAAGCTGCCCAGTCCTCTCTCATTACTGTTTCTTTCCTCACATGGCACAGTTATAGGGTGAACTGTGTCGCCCAAAAAGGTCTGTTGAAATCCTAACCCTCAGCACTTCAGAATGCAATCTTATTCGAAAACAGGTTCATTGAAGATGTAAGTAATCAAGATGAGGTCATTAGGGTGGGGAGGAGGGAGCGTGGTATGAAGACAGAGAAACACACAGACATACCGGGCAGACAATGTGTGAAGATGGAGGCAGAGATTAAAATGATATAATCATAAACCAAGGAATATCTGGCACTACCAGAATTTAGGAGAATCAAGAAAAGAACCTCCCCTATAAACTTCAGGAAGGCTGTGCCTAGCCAATACCTTGATTTTGGATGTCTGGCCTCCAGAACTGTGAGATAATGCATTTTCATCATTTCAAGCCACTCACTTTATGGTGCTTTGTTATAGCAGTGCTGGAAAACTGATAAATGTGGAATGCATATTTTTGTCAAAGTCTCTTTATTCCATCTTCTCTGTACCCAAAATGGCCTCATGGTTCCCAGGCCTGCTCCCTGGGACACCAGCCCACCTACATGTTCTCTTCTCCTGGGCTACAGGATCCTGCTGTGTGTGGAGTAGAGGCTTTGGGGAGCAGGTGCATTTAACAGATTTGGATTTCATATTTCCCACAATTTGTCACACTCATGGAGGAAAGCATAATTCATACTCACTGTGAAACTGCAGTTGTTTCTTAGGCACTAGCGAAGAATTAAGCCGGCCTGAGTCTGTGTCTGTGTGTGAGAGAAATGGCAGGAGCATGAAGCTGACACTTGGATATAGAGAACTGTCCTTGGGAGGGGCCAGGTATGGATGGCAGGATGGTGGTGATGGCAGCCAGTGACTGCATCTCTGGACTCCATCTTACCTCTTTCCTCTATTCAGGGCCTTTGCACAGGCTACATGCTCTGCTGGGAACTCTCCAACCCAGTCCTCCCACTTTGTCCTCAGCCTAGGTGTTACCTTCTGATTTAAGGGAGCGTTATTGTCCCTCTCCCCATACACTTCCTCCTCAGCATATTCTTTGCTTGCTTCATAACATCCACTATGATTTCTCACCATTTTACTTATTTGTCTGCCCATCTGTTGTGGTGAGCTGTTTGGGTGTGACACCCACCCCAACTTTATATTCTAATGTACCCCTGACCACCAACTTCCAACACATAGTCAGGGCTCATCAATTCCTGTGGAATAGATTTTGACTTGCAAAGGCTCACTGATATATATGCAAACACTTGGGACACCACTGAGTTCATCTTTACTTCCCTAACTACTACGCTTCCAGACTTGCATCTCCCTGGCCCTGAGGCTTAATAAGTAAGCTGCAGCTTGAGGTTCCTGTCCATGGATTCTTGTCTTTGCTTTCAGACCCTCATCCTCAACTGTGCTGTCCTCTCACCAGTATAGATGCCTGGATTTGCAGATCAATGCTTCTTCATGAAGTCCCTGCACGTGTTACCAAAGAGCTAAGTGTACAGTACAACACCCAGGAGAGTCGAAGGCAGGGTCAGGCAGACACCAGACTGCTGGGGTGGTGGGGAAATTGAGGGGTCGTCCAGGTGACTACAGTGGCCTCCTCACTGACTCCTCTCCTCCCCCTGTCCCCTATAGCCTGACCCTCACACAGCCAGCCAGAAACAGGAGTCAGCCCGAGCCACTCAGCTGCGGCACAACTATGGCTCCCAGCCCACTGAGAGAGGAAGCCTGGGGCCTCACCAGGCCTGCTCAAGCCCCAGCTACCTCTCCATGCATCTCCTGTGCTCTTGCAATGACATCCTTGGTGCCCCTGAGCCTGCCAGGTGCTCTACCGCTGTGGAGCCTCTGCCAAGAGCCCTGTCTCCCAGACAAATGTTTGGCTGTCTCGTATCTTTCTAAGTTTTAGTATACATGTTACCTTCTCTGGGGCCCCTATTTTATTTTGCTTTTTTAGACAGAGTCTTGCAAAGTTGGCCAGGCTGAGCACAGACTTGCGACCCTGCTGCCTCAGTCTCTCAGAGTACTGAGATGAGAGACGTGTGCCACCATGCCGGGTTCCTATTTTTTTAAATGAAAATTTTTGTTGTGCAATAATTCACAGGCAATTGTGAGAATAAAGAAAGGTTCCCTGTACCCTTTACCCAGCTTCCCCCTATAGCAACATCTTGTAAATCTACAGACAATAACACAAGTGGGATATTGATGCTCATACAGTCAAGATATGGAACATCTCCATCACATACGGGCCCCTCATGCTGCCCTTTTATAGCCAGACACTTCCTTCCTCTTCATTTCCTCCAAATCCCCTACTAAACCCTCAGCTGTTCTCCGTTCTGTGATTTTGTCATTTTAAGTATGTTATATAAATTGAGCCATGTAACACATAACCTTGAGGATTGATTTTTTTTTCACACAGAATAATTCTCTGGCAATCTGTTAGGTGGTCATATGCATCGGTAGTCTGTTCCTTTGCATTACGCATACTATTCCATGATATGGATGTATTGCAGTGTGTTTAACAATTCCATGGTTGAAGGACAGCTAGACTGTTTTCAGTTTAGGGTTATTACAGATAGAGCTACTATGAAAATCCATGTGGAGCTGTATGCATGAACACGTTTTAATTTCTCTTATATAAATACCTGAGAAGACAATTTCTGTGTTACATCTTAACTTTTTAAAGAAGCTCTGGCCATTTCATTTTGAACTGCACCCTCCTGACCCCCGATCTCAACCCAAACATCATACCTTTTACCCTGCTTATGTTTTAGGAACCATCAGAGATCACCAGGATATACAAAGGCCAAAGAGCCCACAAACTGGGGGATGTGGTGGTGAGGCCAGGGACAGAGCCCAGACATGAATTCCCTGGATGAAACTGTCTACTAGGTTTAAAAGAAAATCACAGAGTTCAAAAGCCAAATTAATGTTATCCCCACATAAAACTTACTACTGCAGGGAGGTTTTAACTCAGAAACTCTCCTGATTTAAGAGCTGACCAAGCAGAGCTGTGGTTCAGACAGACCCTGCCTCCTCAGTGGAGGCATGTCCAGGCACCAGCCAGGCTCTGGGGAAGGAGGCTTTTTGCAAATGAGCAGAAAGGACTCTAGTTAGAAACATTCATAGAGCCCTGGAGAAAAGAGAATCAAGACAGGACTGTATTTCAACTGAAAAGTGAAAACCAAATAAACAGAGCTCCCTGTCACGGCAACTGGCCAGCTCAACTGTGCAAGTGAATGGCAAAAACATTCCTGGGCTCCTGGAAGAACTCCAGAACCTTACGTACTTAGTCTGCCTGTGGGGAGGTGGTGGTTATTATTATTACTGTAAATTCATTTACTTCCTAACACATTGATTTTCTTCATTTGCTTGACATTTGTACAGACTGAGCGACTGCTCAAAGAAATGATTAAGCAATATTGTAAAATAATGCTTTGGGCTGACTTAAAATGGAAACTATTATAGCATTCTCAGTAAAGCCAAATGATGTCAGCCTGCCTATTGCGCTGCTTTTTCATAAACATGCTGGA